TCCTTCTTTCCCTTTACCTCCCTGGTTACTTTCCATTTTCCTGGTTCCTGTAGTTACATCAGGATATGTAGTCACATATAAGGATTTGGTGCTAGGATCCACAAATGAGGGAGACATACATTGTTTGTTTTCCTGAGCCTGTGTTACTTCAGTTAGTATAACAATTTCTAGTACCATCCATTTACCCGCAAATTTCATTATTTCATCTTTCTTTACCACTGAGTAGAACTCTATTGTGTAAATGTACCACATTTTCATTATCCACTCATCAGTTGAGGGACACTTAGGTTGCTTCCATCTCTTAGCTACTGTGAAAAGAACAGTAAAAAGCATGGTTGCACAAGTTATCTCTATGATAGGATGAGGCCTTTGGGTGTATGCCAAGGAGTGGTATAATTGGGTCATGTGGTAGATTCATTTTTAGGTTTTTTAATTTTTATTTATTATTTTTATTTTATGTGTATGGGTGTATTGCCTGCGTGTAGGTAAGCGCACCCATGTCGTGGGATGCCCAAGGAAGACAGAAAAGGCTGTCAGATCCCCTGGAACTGGAGTTACAGACATTGTTAGTTGCCATGTGGGTGCTGGGATTCGAACCCGGGTCTTCTGCAAGAACAACCAGTGTTTTTAACCACTGAGCCATCTCTCCAGCCCCTCATTTTTAGTTTCTGAAGAGTTCTCTACACTGCTTTCCATAGGGGTTGCACGAGTTTGCAATCCCATCAGCAGTGAATGAGTGTTCCCCTTTTGTCTACATCCTCGCCATAATTTAATATCATTTGTTTTCAGAAAAAGAGATTAAAAAAAAACCCAAAAAACCTATGGTCCCATTACCTAGAGATGAGTACTAATCACATAAACTTCCAATATTTTTCTATATGGATATATGCATTCATCACACATATTTATTTTACAAATGGATAATGTACTGTACATTTCATTTTATAATCTATAAATGAATGATACTATACATTTCATTTTTAAATCTCTTTTGAAATTCATATGACATTAATACTTCCAAGCATTTATATGATCTTCTACTCTATCATCTTAATTGCTTCATAATTTTACACACTGGACTATTTAACTAGTTTCCTTGTGTTGGATTTTTAGTCAGCTTTCTTTTCTCTCTCTCCCTCTCTCTCGCTGCAAGAAAATACTTGTAGCTGAAGCTTTCCACCCAGTTACAAATATTTCCTTACAATACATTCCTGTAAGTGAAACTCACAGAGCAAAGCATATTCAAACTATAAAAGATTTCTGAAATATATTACCGTATTTTGTATGTATATATCGTGCTTTGTAAAAGAAAATTATGAGATCATTTTCTATAGTTTCTAAAGTTGTAATAATTTTAGCAAAAATCACCATCATTTATGGAACATTAGACTATTATTGCTTGATTTTATGTGTGGTTATTTGGTGGTGGTGAGGGGTGCCTCTTCAAGACTTGCGGCAAACCCTACTGCTTATCTACTAAAACTCCACTGTTTTCTTTTCTCTTAGCTTAACAGAATCTCAAAGGTGTCTGGAACAGGAACAAATGAGCGCTGGTTTCGGCTCTCATGGAAACCTAGGTTGATTGATTGATGACTGATTGGTTGATTGATTGATTGACTGACTTATTACTTTAGAAGGGCTGGGCTTGGGACCCAGGGCTGATAGTGGGACCAAAGAAGTCTGTCACAGGAGTTTTCTTAGAAAGTCACACATTTAAGCACCCTGATTATGCTTTTTGTTTATTTGCAGCCAAAATCATTCTAATGAGAACATATCAAAGGAATGACTAATGGCTTCCAGTTAAAAAAATGGCCTTTAAATCACATGATAGGGAGCTAGGAGACTGGGTAATGTTCTTATAACTACACTCTGCTAATAAAGTGAATGTAAGGGGACAAATTCTGTAATCTGTGAATTACAGATTAAATTTTTAGTACATTTATTGTTTGTGTGTGTGTGTGTGTGTTTGTGTGTGTACCATGGTCTGCACGTGGCAATCAGCGGACAACTTGCAGCTTTCACCATGTGGAGCCCAGACACTGGACTCAGGTCCTCAGAATTGGTGGCAGGTGCCTTTACCCACTGAACCACCTTGTTAGCTCCCTTCCTAATTTTATTTCTGTTGCTGTGATGAAATGCTCTGACAAAAAGCAGCTTAGGGGAGAACGGGTTTATATCAGCTCACAGTTCCAGGTCACAGTCCATCTCTCAGGGAGGTCCCAGCATCAGGAGCTTGGGACACCTGGTCAGAGAGAACGTGAATGCAGACATACCCACTTGCTTGCTTGTCCTCAGCTCACTTTCCCTACTCTTACACAGTTCAGGATGTCTTGCCTAGGGAATGGTGCTGCCCACAGTAGGCTGGGTCCTCCTACATCAATTAAGACAGTCCTCCACAGACATGCCCATAGGCCAACCCAATATACACAGTCCCTGTTTAAGATTCTCTTCCCAGGTGATTCTAGGTTGTATCAAGTTGACAAAGCTTACTATCATACCCTCAGTTTAAATTATTGAAGTTGAAAGTGAATGCCACGTGTGTGTGTTAACAGAGTTGAGATGTACCCGCCATGGACTATTGGCAACTCTATCCTGGGCTCCCCTCAGTGGCAGAATGTGTTTTCTTCTGTCTTCAACAAATGAGATGAAGCAAAACTTAGAACAACGGAAACATGAGGTCAGCTGCTAGAAAGACCGTACACTTTCATAACTGGCTCAGCCTTCTACCCGCTTTTCCCTCCTTTTGTCTCTTTGCATAAGCTCTTCCTGTTAGCAGAGCACACAAACTCCTTTCCAACATTCTTCAGAAGGCTAAGAGGTATTATGTCTTTTCCAGTGGATGGACACAAAAGTCCCCATTTGCTGCTGGAAATACACAACTGATATTATTTCTGGAAAGCCTATCTAAAGATCAGAAAGTTCTTCTGCAATACTTCCTGGGCTGTGGTTGTGAAGTGGTCCTTAGAATGAAAGCTGCTAAGAACAAGGTATCTATTTTCCTTCTAGGGGTTGGAGAGGGAAAGTGTTCTTAAACGAAAATGTTCACACTGGTGTTCCTTTCTCCTGCCCACAATGTCTGATTACTGATCCCCCTCCAGGTCTGTGGGTGGCTGTGTTGGGAGGAAGTCAGGAATTCTCAGCCACAGCTGTCCTTAGGAGCCCTTGAGGCCCAAGTTCCTTCTGTGCTAGCTAATTGCCACTTGTCGAGACTACTAGCCTCAATTCATGGCAATTTACAGTGTGTGGTTAATCGTTCCCATCAAAGAGAAGGGGGAAAGTTGATTTGAAATATTTGGACAAAGGAGATATTTGCAAACTTGTTTGCAAAGTTTCTGTGACAGTGGCAGGTTTTAGTCACACAGCAGCCAAGAAGACAACAGGACATCCCACTGAACATCCCACTGAACCACTAGACTTGGATCTATACTGTACCCTGGAAAATGGTCAAGGCCAGAGGTGTATGGGTAGGGACTAGGAAGAAACAGAGTTGGACGACTAGTGAGAAAGAGATCTGGGAAACAGCAATGTTAATAAGCTCAAGTGTAACCACAGCCTGAAAACAGTCATATTCCATGTAAATGCTCCTCAGAAACTCCTGCTCTTCAGAGCAGAAGAGAACTTTTCAAGCTAGACATCAAGAAGCGTTCTGTGGGTACCCAGGCATGATCTCCTCAGTCTGGTACATGGGCAAAAGACCTATGGACACACGGGCCATGGTGCCAGGGGGGAAAGGTATAACACTGCCTATGAAAAACACATTCCTGCTCTCCAGACACCCACACCTCTGGCCCTGCAGTGTCCAGCTACCAACAGTTGCAGTACTGAGTATCACAATGCAGAGTGACCAGTCAGCTCCTTGGTGAAGCTGATCACACCCGGCCCTTTCTGTAGAGGCCTAGTACTTATGAGGATGACACACTTCCAGAGACTTCTGTGCATCTGCCACATCGACCAGTCACACCTTCATCTGGTGCTTTCAATATCACACCACACTTCTGCAGATCAAGGGAGTCTGCAGAGACTGCATGTCTCTGCAAATGTAGAGAAGCAAAGGTCTGATGGCCAGAGGATCCTCAGGTCCTTAGGGTGCCTTATCAGCCAGAGCAGCTGGGCAGAGCTCTGTTGTGTTTATGCCTATCAGAGTTTCTCATCTCCCAGAATCATGATCCAAAGTTCAGCATAGAGGGACAGGGTGGAGAGAATAAGTTCCATCATGATATCCAACAACCTGGTATATAGTTACATTTCTCATTGCTGTGACCAAATACCTGACAAGACACAACTTAAAAGAGGAAGGCTTTATTTTGGCTTATAGTTTAAGAAGGATTGCAGTCCATGGTTGAAAGACACGGCTGACAAGACCGTAAAAGCTGGTCTCACAGATAGTGGACAAGAAGTGGGTCCAGGTATAAAACCTCAAGGCCTGTTCCTTAGGGATCTACTTCCCCCAATAAAGCTATACATCCTCAAAACAGCATCACCAGCTGAGGACCAAACACGTGCCTATGGGGAAACATCACATTCAAACCACACATGACCTCAATATTTTTGCCTCCTGCCCTGTGTGGCCCTGGTGATCCAGGTGTTTTCAGCCCTAGGAAACAATGAATGTGCTGACAATGGATGCTCAAAGAACCACCAGGCCAGATGAGCTATCTCAGGCTTCTAAAGGAACAGAGCACTCACAGAGTGCCTTGGCATACAGAAAATCATCCGAGAGGTGCCCCCAAGAGGGAGTTCATTTGTGACCTGGTGCAATCAGGGCTTGAAGCAGCATTTGTTGGAGATGAACTTCCTTTCCTCCACCTACCGCTCCATTTACAAGGAACCTAATATTTCAGAAAGGGCACCTATTCTAGCAGGCCTGTGATGCCAGAAGGGGAGAGGGAAGACCAGAAAGGAGTCCTGCTCACCCACACTGCTACCTCTCATGGGCAGCTTCTGAAGGAAAGCAGCATTCAACTGAGGTGCTCACTCTACCTTGGGGGAGGATCACGTACCTTTGTCAGCTGCTGCTCAGAGGAGAAGCCCAAGCCGAACACTGTATTGGCTCTGCTGTCAGCCCACTGCCCGAACTTCTGCGAGGTTTTGGTGAAAGTCATGTTTGGGGTGATTGTACTGTTTATGATCACCTGCAAGGAGACAGTCCGGAGGAGGAGCGTTAACTCTGAACGAGCCCTTTAAAACACCTGCTGGCAAAGCCAGTGGCTACAGCAAGCTTCCATTGTCCTGTTACATTTGTTCTTAAGTTGTTTTCTTGGCACATCCCATGCCAGAGTAGATACACAACCATGAGAAAGGGCAATTTCAGACACTTAACAGATAGTCTAAAATAAGATCTTGTACACCATCAGTGGGAGAACAGCTTTCCTAAGAAAAGATAGTTCCCAAACATTTATTTTCCCAAAGCTACCAAGCATCAAAGCACCTTAGCGGCTATGTGTATGTCTTTTGAAGAACTGTCTATATGCTTTTAAAATCCCAGGGCTGAAGAGATGGCTCCATGGTTAAGAACACTGGTTGTTTTTGCAGAAGACCCGGGTTCGAATCCCAGCACCCACATGGTAGCTAACAACTGTCCGTAACTCCAGTCCCAGGGGATCCAACAGCCTCTTTTGACCTCCACAGGTATTGCATGACACAGGTGCACTTACCTACATGCACGCAATACACGCATACACATAGAATAATAATAAAAAAAAATCCCCTGCACTCTTGCATCCAGCTCAAACCATTAACTATCTCATCTAGCAACTGGGGCCTGCTGCTTCCCAAGAAGAAGGAAAAGGTATGAACCAATTAGGACAGTATGTAGAGGTCAAATTTATAACGACAATTAGAGATACAGATGTGAGCAGGGCCTGAGGAGACTAAGGGATGGTGCAGGAGCCTGGTGCTGGATATTACCCACTCCTTGGTCCAAAAAGAAAGCTGGTGCTGGCCCAGCAGTTAAGAGCACTTATTGCTTTTGCAAAAGATCAGGGTTCAGTTCCCAGCACTCACATGGCGACTCATAACCACATATAATTCCAGTTCTGGGGGACCTGACACTTCTTCTGTCCTCTGAGGAAACCAGGCATGCTTGCAGTGCACATACACACATGCAGTGCACACACACATACATGCACACACACAGACACACCACAAATAAGTTTTTTTTTTTTTTTTGGTCTTTTTGAGACAGGGTCTCCCTGTAGCCCCAGCTGTTCTGGACCTATGTAGATCAGGTTGGCCTTGAACTCACAGAGATCCACCTGCCTCTGCCTCCCAAGATCTGGGACTACAGGCATGCATTACCATGCCCAGCTTATAACCTTTTTTGTTTTTTTAAGCTAGAAAGGAGTGGAGAGTCTACAGACCCTGGAAAGAAAAGCCATGTGGAGCAGACTTCCCTGAAAAGGGAGGTGACTTCCTGGGGGAACCACAGGAACAAATGCCTTCTCCTCTGTAAATCTGATCTCTCTTTGCCATTGGCCAAACTCCAAAGCCAGAGAACCTAGAAGGCCACTGATGCTACCTTTGGGTCAGCCTCTCAGACACAGCAGGGTAAAAAGGGGAGATAATGGATGCGAGGGGGTTAAACAATGACATCAAGTACATGCATTCATTCATTTAAAAAAAAAAAAACAAAAAAAAACAGCATTTCTTGGGCATTTACTGCATGGTAAAAATTCTGCTAACCAGAAAAATAAAGTTAGAAAACACAGTTGAGGGCTAGGACTGTTGCTCAGTTGGAAAAGTGATTGTCTCACATGCAAAAAGCCCTGGGTTCACACCTCAACACTGCATAGACCCAATGTGGGGGTGCAGGCCTATAATCCTAGCACTCAAGAGGTTGAGGCAGGGGTTTCAGAAGTTCAAGGTCATCTTTGACTATACAACGAGTTCAAGGCCAATTTGGACTACTTAAGACCCTGTCTCAAAAACAAACAAACAAAAGGGCTGGAGCCCTGGCTCATTGTTAAGAGCACTCACTGTTCTTGCAGAAAATCCAGCACCCACATGGTGGCTAACAACTGTCCATAACTCCAGTTCCAGGGGACTCCAACACCCTCTTCTGACCTCCTCGGGCACTGCACAACATGGGGGCACCTACCTATATGTGGGCAATACACTCAAACACATAAAACTAATAAATTTTTTTAAAAAGCAGCAACAACAACAAAAAAACCCAAGCCCACAGTTGAGATATGCCTACGTCACTGGACATGGTTAAGAAATGGGGCTAGGGATCTAGAGCATGGAACATGCAGATCTATCCCATGGGCTTGTAGAAGGGAAAGCTTCTGAGGTCTTGCAGGGTGGCAGCATTCTGGCTCAGCCCCAGGCAGATGTGACAGGAGAGAACCACAGAAATCCTATGGAAGGCATGTAGCTAGAGTTGGATCAGTACCACCAGGATCCTGGGAGGCCAAAGCAATGCCCCAAGTCCATTCAAAGTATTAGCTCACTTTAAATCTTGTTGTGGCTTTCACTGCACATGTAGGCCCCTAAGGACACATACACACACGTCCCTTGAATGACAGTAGAGGCTGACCAGAGTATAGGACACAGCTCTCAGACTTGCACCAAACAGTCTGTCCCAGAGTCATTCACAATATAATAATAACACTCATATTTATTTATAAGTGAACAGTTTTAAAGGTATTTTTTCCATAATTTTGTCTAATCCTCACTTTTAAAGGATTTATTATTTTTATTTGTGTGTATGTATGTGTGCCTGTGGGAGTTTATGTACGCATGTGTATGCAGGCGCCCGCTGAAGCAAGAGAGCACCAGATCCTCTGGAACTAGAATTACAGGTGGTTGTGAGCTGCCTGGTATAGGTGCTGAGAATTGAACTCAGGTCCTCTGCAAAAGCAGCAAGCAATCTTTTTTAAAATTTATTTATTATACCCACTGAAGGGGTACCTCAGGTGCCTCACCCTGCATCCCTGTTCATCATGAAAGAAGCCAGAGTAGTCTGCTTTCCAATTCCCTATCGGCAATTTGGGTAACATCTTCAGAGGATGGTGTGATAAGAATAGGAGATAGGAATTAGCTAGACAGTTAGGGTAAAAAGACCCCAAAGAAAAGTAGCCAGTTTCTTGGCTAAAAGTCAAAATATCTTTGGGTCTCTTAGCAACATACTCTGTTCCAAAGGCCAAAAATGTCAAAAGTATTTGGGAGCCTTTATCCAATCCCTAAAAGATTTTAGGGTTACCACTTCAGAGGGGGGAAGTTAGAGTAGAAAAAAGCCCCATTAAAAAAAAGAAAAGAAAAAAGAAAGAGTACATGAAGTTGTCAGAAAAAAAGTGATGAGATATGTGAGGAGTTGGAGGGGAGGAAGTGGGCGTGGATTTGATCAAAATACTTTATATGAATGTATGAAATTCTCAATAAATTTTTAAGTTAAAAAAAACGGCCATACACCTAGAGTATAAATGTCCACAATATTTGCTGTATGACAGGTGATCACATTATGTTCTTCTGTAGGAGATGTGATAGCTTCACATTTTCTATTCTTTTTAGGATAGCCATCTCTCTATTGACAGTTTTATTTCCATATCTCATTATAAAGCTGTACTGTAGTGTCTGCCAAGACTGACATCTTTTTTATCATTTTTAAAAATTTTTAATAACTGTATGATTAGAAGAAGCATTTCCTTAGAGCTTTAACATATTCAGTAACACACTCCAGAGCAAGAGTGCATCTCTTTCACAAGCGGCTGTAAGTTTCTAGGTTCACAGTTGAAATGATAGTTATACAATACTGAACTCAGTATAAGCCTTGTAAGACATAAAATTGAATGAGTTTTTAAACTTTACAAAAGCTCTCCATTTCATTTTAGAATATATTGTTCCTTACAGAAAGACTCGTTGTGATTGCTACTAACACTGAGATGCTGGCGCATGAATCTCTAATCTGTATGTATCTATTACTAGTCAAGATCAGTTGCACTTGGATCCTGGAAGCCTGTCTTATGTCTATAAAGTCATTGGGTAGATTTCAGTGGTAATGTTTATCACCTCTACTAATTAACATGACGTAAATTTCCATGCTTCCTCCTCAAATATAATATATTTTTTAAATTTCTTGATTATTTTTTGTGTGTGTATATCACACGGAACATCCCAAACCATCTTATTCAACTATACACTCACTTCCCAGATGGCGTCTCCCATAGCCTCGCTCCCCTGACTAGAGCCCTTATACTCTGATATCCCTGCTTCTGTCTGCTGTGTTGTTGGAACCCCAAGCCATTTCCCACTACTTGTCCATCTGGTGAATATAGTCAGCCTATCTAGAGGTCTTTGTTTTAGGAAGGTCAGCTGTTCCTCATCTAGCAGCAATCAGCTGTCAATATTCCTTTAGATAAGATTGAGGTCTGCTGTTCATTTTCCCAGTTCTATGCTGGGTTACAATCTGGGAAACCCTTTGGCCACAATGGCCAACAACTCAAAAGAAGGTATCTCCTATGTGGCATTGTTGCTTGTTATGTAGCCTTTAGCTATGTATATGGACTCTTATGAAATTATATTGGCCCCTTTAATCTTTGGTTATTCTTTCCTTTAGGGTGTTTAAGGTCATAAAGGTGGCCCAGATAAACCAATTTACTTTTACTCTTAAGGTTGTTAGAGGACCTGTTCCTCAGGGGTCACATGGGCTTGGGAGGAGTCCCTGGCTCCTTTCTTTTACCAGTTCTGCCTATATGAAGATAAGTCAAAGGTCCTGCTCAACCATGGTTGGCTTCACTTGGAATCATGGAGGAAATGATTCCTCTGTATTGACCCTCCTCTTTGTAGACTGGACACTAGTTCAAGTCCATCTGGTGGGGTCTCCTCCAACTCCTTGATCAAGAGGACAGGAGACCCACCACAATTACAGGACATTTTGAGAGATGCTCATAGTCCTGGAACTAGTCGACCTAGGTAGGAAGGCAAGGAGCAAAAACTGTCCTTTATGTCCCTCTGACCAAATTAGTATAGGCCTCAAAGTATGTTTGTTAAACATCCAAGAAGGTTAGTTCCACCAGTCTGGTACTTTTAATTACTGTGTGTCATGTAGATAAATCTTGGGCAAAATCAAATTGTTCTCGGATAAACCTTACAGAGACATGTATTTCTTGATCTGCTATGTATAATTTGTCAG